TATAATGAATTTAACGATAATAATAATTATAATAACTAACGTTTAAACGATAAATCGTTAATTATTAGTGAAGTAATAATAATAATAATAATAATTATAATAATAATAATAATAATAATAATAATAATAATAATAAATTGCTGTGCGCATCACGGGGTTTGCGCAACCAAAAAAAAAAAAAAGAAAAAAAGGCACGCGTACCTCCTCCTTCGCTTCTTCTCCTTGATCATTATTTTATTTTATTTCATTTTTTTATTTATTTATTTATTTATTATAATCTAAAATAATTATATCGAAGATATTTTTAACAAAAAGAGAGAAGAAGAAAAAAACATATTCGACGAAGAAGAAAAAACCAAAAGCTAATAAAATTATGTATATAATAATTAGGTTAATGTTTCATTTTGAATAATTAAAACGTTTGCTAGAGAGAGAGAAGGTTGATTCGAAAAAAAAAAGAAAAAGAAAAATATTAATAACCCGGTAATACACAAAATCCCATTAATTGAAAAGCGAAAATCTTTAGAAAAAGAAAAAAAAAGAAAAAGACCAATCCCGAACCAAAAAAGACCACTTAACCTATTTGCATCCGCGAGTTTCGAATACACAACTAACTTCATTCAATTAAATACGGTTAATTTAACGATCGACCCCGCGTATCACCGCGTATAACATTTTTTCTTTAGGATATAATCTATTTATTTTTTCTTTTTCTTTTTTTTCCTTTTTTTTTTGAGCTTTAATTGAAATTAGAAATACCAAACAAGCAAGCAAGCAAGCGGTTGTTAAACGACGACAAGAAACATTCTGAAATACGAATTTAAAATATGTCATATATTAACTTACGTGGTAAGGGGTGGGAGGGGGGAAGGGTTTGGGATGAATGTATTAACCAACTTTCAAACTTTTTGTTGCTTACTTCAAGCAAGACACGTATGGGAGCACGGATTATCGCGAGGTTTAAACACACACACACACAAATCATAATATTATATCTATTCTTGATCATAGATAGATAAACATGGAATAGAAAGAAATACGACAGCATAAATCGCGTACGTTTATTTTTCAATGGATCAATAATGTTATCTCATTTCTCGTTGTAACGTAGATAAAAAAATGTCTGGAAAATAAATGAAAAAAAAAGAAGAAGAAGAGTCGGTTAAGAACGGTGGGATGGTTGGTAAGAGGAGGACAAGGGGGTGGGAGGGAGGATATTAAAGTTGGAAGGAAGGTGACGTTTTGACGGCATTGGTCACGTGTTCGTTGCATTTGTTTAAAAAATTCTAAAAAGAAGTGGAAGAGGAAAGAAAAACAAAAGGAAAAAAAAAAAAAGGGTCATCGAGCAAAATTTTTACCGTTGACGAACTATAACGAGAACAGACGGGCGAGGTTGGGGGGGGGGGGGTTTATAGTTTTTTAACGAAAGAAAAAAGAAGCGGAAGTTAAGTAAAAAAAAAATTAAAAAAATAAGAAGAAGATGGCAAAAAGGGGGAGAGAAAGGGGGCGGTGAAGGAGGACGTCGCGAGCTTTAGCCAGCACTAAAAAAAAGAAAAAAAAAAAAAGGCAGAAAGAAAACGGATAAACGTTTTATTATTAATAATAGTATATAGACGTGTTCCGAAGGATATTTTTTCTTAGGTGAAAAATTTCCTTGGTGTGTCTTTTTTCGCACTGTCGCGTGTATGTCATATGGGGGTTGGGTGGAGGGGGGGCTGGTATTGATGGAAGTGGGTTATTAAGAGAAAAAAAGAAACAGCTAGATTCTGTGTGTGAGTGTAATTGTGTATATGTTGCTAAAAAGAGAAAGGAAGGGAGAAATTATTATTATTAATAATGAGAGAAGAAAACAAACAAAAAATAATATATACGTTTCGCGCGAAAAGGAACAATAATACTAATATATATATATATATAACGATACGAGAAATGCATGTGTATATATATATACATATTTATATACATTTTCTCGTTCCTTAAAAATTTGTGTGAAGATGTGTGCGATCAGTATATATATATATATATATATATATATATTCTTTTCTCTCTCAGGAGTTAACCCTTTCGCAAAGGACAAGGACAAATCATTCGAAGGTTCACAGACAGTTATGTTGGTGTAAGGAAAATACGAGGAACGATGATGATAATGATTAATGATGATCATAATGATAATGATGATGATGATGATGATGTTTCCGTACAAGTCACTGTGCATTTTAGCTTCTAAGGAAATTAGCAAATAGGTGATAGAGATTAAGTCAAGACACATGTAGCTATGTATAACACATAAGTTTATATTACATAATAAAATCTATCGAGAAAATTAATATAATATATATAATATATATTGATATATATATATATATATCATCGTGTATATCACTCGGTTTAGATCGCAATATTTTCTTTTTTATTTTGCTGTTATTTTTTCTTTTTTACAGAAAAGAAGTAAGTTAAAAAAAGAAAAAGAATCAAAGGGAAAAAGATAATTCATTAATAAGATACATATCTATATAACTCGTAAAAAGTATTATATCATCGATAATGTATCAAGGTGTGGGAAAAAAAAAAAGGAGACACACCACCACCACCACCACCCAACACCCACCATCCGATCTTATTAAAATATAACAAGAAAAAAAAAATGAGAAAAAGAAAAGAGGGAGAACATAACATTTTTCCTCTTACGTTTTCTTTTTTCTTTTCTATCCCTTATTATTATTATTATTATTATTATTACTATTATTGTTTTTCTTTCTTTTTTCTTTTTCCAAGCGAATAAAAGAGAGGTGGAGGCGGGAGGAGGGGGAAAGGCTTCTTCTTCTTCTTCTTCTTCGTTCTTTCCCTATCGAATGTTGAAAGAGCTACTTCAAAATGTAGTCACGGTCTCGTACTCCATTTTACATCATCTTCGCTTTTCTTCAACCACGTTCCTTCCCCCCCCTCCTCCACTACCCCCACCAACTACTTCTCTTGCAACAAACCCACAACCCCTCATTTCTTTCCCTTTTGACACGCGCAATACGAAGTTGCGGTTATCGTTGGTTGGGAACCATCAAAGCTTCAAGTCTTGGATTCAATTCTCTACTTTTCACTCGTGTCAATCATTCTTCTACTTTTACTTTTACTTTTTCTTCTTCTTTTTCTTTTTCTTTTATCTCGAACACGACGTGCTTTATTATTATTATTATTATTTTTTTATTTTTTTATTTTTCTTGCTTTTATATACCAACGTTGCATATACGTATATTTATTTTATATTCATCACCATCCGATACGTTTCTCATTTCGAAGTGAAGAAGCAACAACACCAACGTCGTTTCTTATTTTTCAGAATAATCAAAAGTATATATTTCTTTTGAAACAAATCGTATATATAAGTAAGTAATTAAAATTGTTTACAGTGAATCTGTGTTCTTTATATACCTATACACGCTTATGAATCTTTCTTAGACTATTTGAATTTTATTTTTGGAATATGAATTTATTATATATTATTATCATATATTATTATTCTTTTCAGCCACTCAATTAAAAAAAATTTCTTACA